CCAATAATTGTTCATAATTGTGTCAACAACCCTCATCCCACCAACATATTTTACATACAGATCATACCAATTGTGGTCTAGTCGGACCCCGTAACAAAATATGCTGAAAAAGACACCCGAATATCAACTTTAACATTTTAAAAATATTTCATTGTTCATTTAACAAACAACATACCACGTTATAGTGGTATGAAGTACAGTTTGAAGTAAAAATTAACGGTATAAGCGCACGACGTTTCGACCCAACTTCGGTCATTATCAAGCTTGAAAGTGAAGGTAAAAATCATCATTAGTAATTATGTTATTCTTGCATGCATTTTATTGTTCTGAACACTCTTTTTACATTTTCATACTTAACATACTTTTACTTCTTTGTTTTATATTTATAATTATGCAAAAATTGTTATCTTCACTTTTAAGCTTAATAATGACCGAAGTTCGGTCGAAACGTCGCGCACTTTTACCGTTAGTTTTTACTTTAAACATACCACGTTGTTGTACTAATTCTTAACTTTTTCCCACACAACATAAACCCCAATAATTTCCTAAAGTTCCACTCAATAATAATTTTTAGCAAACTAGTGTTAATTATAGTCCCATTTGGTAATGGAAATATTAACATAGCTCCTTGAAACTAAAGAAAAGTGTTAAGTTGGCAATCATACAAACATGCTTAGGCAGTTTAATTGTCCAGTACTTCACTTAGTACACTTGAATTTCCCTTTTGCTTCGCTAGGGTCAATTTGGACACCAAAAGGAAAATGAGCGCTAAGTTAACATAGTCTTCTGGAAGTAACATTTCCATTTAAGGCAGCTAATTCATGGAGACAAATTCTAAAAATCGCGAANCAATGCGTCTATTTGGGTAACGGGTTGAGGAATGAATAATTAATTTATCTTCTTTTGTTTCCCCAACATTTGGAGTTTCAATTTTAATATACCGAAATTGGCCAAAGCAAAAATGTAAATATAAATCTTATTTATAGTGTTCATGCACTTAGCTATACTAGCATTAAGCTTAGCTAGTTTACAGGAAGGCCACTGAAACAGAGGAAGCAGATATTTCAAATAAAAGTAACATAGTTAAAAATCCCAACTGGCAGGAGGCAGACCAGATAGCTATTTACAAAGCGTGACCGAAGATTTGATTTCGGGACTGCCGAGAAACAAATCCCGCTAGTGGCAGGTTAGAAACCTTGAACCCGGGACCTCCGGATTACAACACCAGCGCCCTAAACCACTCGACCAAGCTGACTCTACAGCATTTTATAACGGCGGAAATTATGGAATTACATCGACTGCCTTTATTAAATTTTATTTTACAACTGACACTGACATATATTGTGAATAAAGAATGACTTAAAGCTTGATTATAATATCAGCTATGCGGATTATAAGGTAACATTTACAGTTACTAAAGTTACTAAATATTTACAATTAAAGATAGATGTGTAAAGGCTCCTACTGAATGCCTAGAAGTAAAACCTATGTACAAATACCAGTTTAATGTATACTGACTACAAAATAGCTTAACAAACCTCTCTCTTTGCGCATTTATGTTGATTGTCATTAAAATCGTACCCCTTTTCAATATTGAGTGTATTTTTGATTTAATATATAGTATCAGCTATACGAAGTTACCAGTTACAGTTACTATAAGTTACTAAATATTTTGGAACGAACGAAAGATGTGTAAAGGCACCTACTAAACATCTAAAATTAGTATAATTTACAGAGGTAAATGTAACAATTGGACATTCTGATAGCTCAAAAGTTCGGCTTATGACGACACTATAATCACCGCGTTAGGCGGTGAATATAACAATTCTGAGCTTGGTTACAAAGTTCTTGTCACCTTTGCCATCTTGGCAAGTAAATATGGCGGACAGTTGCTGAATGAAATTTTCATTTATTCGAAAGAAATCACTCCAAGTCCAACTGAAATATTTGAAAGGATGGAGAACTTTCAAAATGACTGCTGTCACCCTTCGACCAAGAATTTTTTCGTGAACTCGTGTACAAGGTATTTAAGAATCGTAAACGTAAATTGACGGAAATTTATTTTTCTTCAAACTAAAGCTACACATTTTTAGACGATGGTAACAACTGTGAATGAAGTCAACAACGATAAAACAAAGGCACTGGATGAATTTATTTTTCGTAGTGTTTCGCTTGTTTGTTTTACTACCGAACTCGATGTGTAAATTTATTCACAACCGATATACATGCAAGCTTATCATTAAAACTACGGCTGCCGGCTGTATGCACACGAACAATTGCGTCTGTGTTTTTTATGTTTTAGTCAATTATTTGTAGTTCCTGAAATTCAACTCTGAAAATTATACTAAAACAATTATTCACCTCAGGCTCAGTGAACGTTGATGAATATTCACCTCGACTTCGTCTCGGTCAATATTAACAAAATTCCAAACCTATGTGCCTGTACGGGTTAAATATATAAAAATGCCACACTTAACAAACCCAGTTCTCTGCACATTCATGCTGATGTATTTTTGATGCAATTTACTGACGTATGACACTTAATGGCCGACATACCTACTCGGGAGTCATAGCATTGAGGCAAGACATTACATTTCCAAAGATCTCCAATGCAGGAGTACAAATGATAATTGGGTATTATTGAAGGGACGTATTCCGAGGGAAGAGAGCAGTTATACGGATTTCAATTCCTCAGAAAAACGAATAACTGTTATTGTTTATGTAGTTTTCATTTTCCTACTGCTGTCATGCTGTATCCGTATAGGTATTTTCCACTCCCTTTATCAATAATAGTAATCATATGAATACGAGTGCAATGAAGTATTTACATTACAAGTGATATTTAAAAAATTGCACGAACCTTTTAAACCTCGTTCCTACGGCTTTTCCCTTAGGAATACTCTGTAAGGGGTTCTCGGTAGTGATTGGTTGTCCGCGCGCCTATTTGTGAAGGAATTGGTGCGCGATCACGTGGGTATCCAATTATAACTTTCTGCAATTGTTTAGACTGCCTGTAATTGAATACCTCCGCCATTCGCACGTCAATTACGTGAGCGTTAATGGCTGCCGTCTTAGCATTCCTCACACATTTTTCGACTTATGGAAAACTCTACTGAATTTCTCGCTCGAAAGAAGTTCTTAATAATCGCCAAATTTGTTATTGATACGATTAATTAATATTGAGACCTCGTGTGGCACAATTCAGGGGGTAAGCGTGCTCGTAATTTACTCCCTAAATTGTACTCCACTCGGCCCAATTACTAATACTACTATACTACTGCTATTATATTACTACTCATTGCAACACTGAGGAAATTATGAATGTGAGCACATTAATTTGGACTGTTGTGCAAATAAAAATAAGCGGTAAAATAAGCTGTTCTCAGCCAATCACAATCAGTCATACCAAAAAAAGTCGTGTTGCCAATTAAGTTGCATTTTGAGACTGTTCAATAACATACGTTGCTGAGATCTGAAAGATAATTCATGCAGTACTGGAAATGTCATCTCTTTAGGAACCTGGGCTTCAGCTTCAACTCCGTGCGTTTTAATGAATACTGTAGTCCTTTAAATGCGTTCCAGCAAACTCCATCTGCATAAGACTCGTATGGTCCGCCATGGTACAACCCGTTAAGATTTGCATTATGGCAAGCCTTGTACCACCAGCCTCCTTTAAACTTTATAGCACAGTTTTCTACACTTCGGTCGTTGTCTTTATCTATGGTCGTAAATCGCATTCCACTATAAATGTGAAAAAGTGGAAGGAAAGTATCATTGTTAACCATTTTCATGGTAAACGGAAAACACGAACGGTTTTTCTCCTTGAATAGAAATATTATCACAAGGAGATATGAATTTTGTTGTCATATGTGACATAGCATACCCCATAACATCGATAAATCGCTGGCCGCGTGGTCAAGTTGTTAGTAGTTTTGCAAAACTAACAAAATCCGAAAATGTCCAAGTTATAGCAAAGATATCAGTGACGTCATCTATTGTTATTAATATGCCAACCAGAGAACTATCGGCTGGTGAAACAAAGAGTTCTTTTGTTTAATGTTTTGAACATTTAAATAACAAAAACAATGTTTGTAAACAAATATCTTCCCTATTGTACATGTATTAGAAAGTGGCTCTTAAAAATACCCGTAGGAGCCAAGTTTTACAATTATTCCGAAAATGTTTAAGCTTGGAATCAGCGAGTAACGACATTAAGGACGTTCGCGCGAAAATTTTCCAACATTTATTTTTTTCTGAGACTTTTACCACTGTAAGATGATGAGTTAGTTATGTCAGAAATGTAAAAAACAACAACAACAAAAAATGGGGGGTCACCGACTTCGTTTTAGAGAGAACATGCCCGAAGGAACACCCTAAATTTGAAAAAATCGTGCTTCTTTAGTAAACAAGGTCAGTGTCTGAAGTGAAATGTTCTCTGCCAAATATTGTTTAAGAGGACCTATTAAGTGAATTTAGTCAACTGGCGAGGTTCCTTAAAGACAAGTTCGCATTTAGCGACCATAGTTTCAAGCGCCGCAAGATGGCAATATTCGATGTCCCGAAGACAGAATTCTTGAACTTTTTGTTAACTTCCCACATTGATTTTTTGTTCGTTTTTGGACAATGTGGAGTTAATTGCAAATAAAATCTGTTCCTGGAAAGAAAAGTAGGGGTCACCGAACGTCCAAGATCGTTAAATTCAGGCAAAGCTCTTGCAATGGCCATCTGCCCTATTATTGTTCATTTTATTACTTAGCGAGCGCTCTCATGCATGACGTGGCGTTTGAATTTGCGTGCGCAGTAAGGACGCGCAGAAACAATTAGCGCGAACGTCCTTAAATCAACTACCACAGAAAATGAATAGATTGTCAATTTGGTAAAAAACAAATGGTAATTCTTTATTTGTAGTGACAACCCTGCTTAGCTAAAAAGCTACTTTGCAGGAAGGCGACTCTTAAATTAACATGAAGACAAATTAATTACTAAACAAGTTAACACAAGAAAAAGTAAATTGAAAATTTTATTTTCTTGCTGTGATGAAGGTGTAACGGCGTTTAGTTAATAATTTTACCTTAAGCGATGGCCGGCGGTCATCGAGTCACCAGCCGTGCCACTGTACCCTCCAATCAAAAGCTGGTACTTATCTGCCTCGTCTGCCACCTTAAAAGTCGTGTACTCAGCGTATCTGATGTTTCCTTCAAAGTCTTCCAAGTCAGCTCGCATGGTGACATCAACAATGGCAGTCAAACGGTGAAGATTGTCATTTCCAAGCCAGAACTCGCCGTTCAGATCTCCAAACCCGTTTTTGTAGGATTCCCAACCAAGATAGAAGTCAACAGAGCCGTCTAAACGTCTCTGAAAAACTGTCCAACCTCCACCATCCGTGGTCATGTCACACAACACTTGTATTGGTTTACCGCCATCTGGATTGATTGTGTACACGCCATTGGATGTGAAACCATCTTGAAGGAGTTGGGAGCAGCTTTTTGGAATTGGCCCTGAAAGATAACAGAAAAAGACGAAATATGGAATGTTGGTATAGAAAGTGTTTTCAATTTTGAGCCTTTTGTTTCGTTGTGTGTTTGTAAAACTAGTGGAATTTAACAAGCTGAGGACAAATTGAATCTGTTTCTCCTTTTTAAAATGATAACCATGCGAATACGTGAACGAAAATATTATATGCTGAATGCAAAGCTAGGCTTTCACGTCTCTGAAATACTGTCCATCCTCCACCTTCCGTGGTCATATCACAAAACACTCTAATTGGTTTGCCACCATCTGGATCGGATCGTGTACACGCCACAGGATGTGAAGCCATCTTGAAGGAGTTGGGCGCAGCTTTTTGCCTCTTTGAGTTGTTAAAAGGAAAGAGAAGATTTTATTACTTTATTTAAAACATTAATGGTCTTCAATAAGAGCTGTAAAACAATTTATGATTGATCGCATTTCCTAGGCTCTAACCGTTAGCCAGCGCTGTTATCTATCATAGTCTTCATTTACGATGGTTTCTTTGTGCCATGCTTAGAAAGTCATGCGTAGATTGCGTCTGTCGATCGAGTTGTGCTTTGATGGTCGCGAAAGTTTGGACAGCAGCAGAAAAATGTGGAAAGATCTGGATGCACATGTAAAAGCATGACTGACGAGTTAAGCATTATATTCCTTACACAAGTTGTAAGGAGACTCTTAAACGTAAAGTCAGTAATATGATTGCTGTCACTCCCTCTCACTGAACTGAAAAAGAAAAACTGTCTAACGTTATTCAGATTTTTTGGGCAGTTTCAGTTATTCTTCAGCAATACTTGTTGTAAATTAACTGAACTGGCATTTTCACTTTTTAGTATCAAAACATATGTATTGAGAACGGCATATAAATGTGTTAGTACAATTAATCCTTTGGAAAAATTTAAATGG